GATCCCACATTAGGGCCAGTGATGCTGCATCCTCTACAACTGAGATGGTGAACAACAACTTGACCTGGAGCTGGGCTGCCATGAGTCGCCGGCGACGGTGTAGGCTGTGCAGTGGAGCAGCAGTGGGCTCCTGTAAGCTACTGTGCGCAGCCAGCAGCCGGCATGAGCGGCCAAGAGCTGCCATGAGCAACCATCCAGTGACTGGCGACTGATCTGCCTTACCCGGGAAGAGCGCAATGATAATACCAACATGGGCCAGTGACTCGATGTCCTCCACAACTACACTGAAGAACCAAAGGACAGCAGCTTGTCTGTTCCCCTTCCCCAATTCCCCAACGCTGTTCCTCTCCCGATTCCCCAATAAAAGTCTTTAAAAAATAAAAAAAATCACTCCAAATCAACAGAGAATAAGGTATAGAAACTATTATGGAAAAAACTAGGAGTCATCCGTAACTGCAAACCATAACATACGAAAACTGGAAGTGGATGGAAGGATGACAAATTACTCAGTAGAAAGTAGGATAGTCAAACATAAGGGCTTGAAGGCAGACATTTAAAACAAATAAGATTGTTCTATGCACCCTGGGAAGAAACAAAGCAACTGAAGGCACAGATAGAATAGAAAGTAGGGCTTGGGCAAGGGACCAACATGGATGGATGATTTGAAAGTTTGCAGTAATCAGAACTACACCCACCGAATCAGAATCACCCACTCTAAGGAATCAGATAACAGGCCTTTAGTCTATCCCAGGGATCAGCATACTGTGGCTTGAGTCTCATATGCAGCTGTTTGGGTACGTACATGTGTGAATTTTTCTTATTTTAATAAAGATATAATTAATACTATTACTTGTTGTAACACTACTTTAAATTTTCCTTATTTGTACAATAAAAATATATTTATGGCTCTCGAATAATTTTTAAATCGTTGTGAGGGACAGGATTGGCTCTTCGGTCTCAAAAGTTTGCTGACCCATGGTCTATCCCAACAGGGATCTGGAGAATTATTCTCTATAGAACTGAGCTAGAGAGAATCGGAACTTGAGAACACCAGGCAGAGAAGAGACTGAGGTTTTAGGTGAAAGTCTGAACACTGAATTGCGAGATCAAATTTCCCTTCCTTGTTCTGCTCCTCACACCAACAGCAAGGCAACAGATTAGCAGATACTTCTCTAGAAAAAACAAATATTCCCGAACAGCCTTTAAAGACACCAACAGTTGAGGGTCCCTAATACTACTACACAATTACCTGAGGCTGTTGAACTTTTATTCCCACTCTTGTATACAGAGCTTTGAACCAAACTATTTTATTAACATAAGGGTTTATTAATGTTGTTAGTGCCTCATTCAAATATAAGTGATTATCCAAGAATAACCCAACATTTGAGGNGAATCTAGAGCTACTATACTGTGTAAGCTGAATACTTATTCATCTGAGGTTTGTTCAGGGATATTTTGTGGTCAAAAGATTTTCTTAACTGATTAAAAAAAAATCAGGACCTACATAATCCAGAAAATGCACACATAAGTTTGTTATATCACAAGAGAAAATAAGGAAGAATGCACTAAAATTAAAATCTTCCTACTAGTAAGGCTCAAATGAACTATTTTAAGAGAGTATGGATAAGTCACTTATTATATGAATTTAAGCATCCCAAGGAGTTCTCTGCTCTGCTTTAAATATTTACTTTTCTATAGAGACACGCATAGACAGAGAAAGAATACAACTTTTGTCACATTTGGAAAGTAGGTATTTAACTTATTTAAATAGTTTCCATTAGCATTTAGGAAAGGTTGTGTGTTTATTAAAAGGCCAAAATACTATTTTCACAATAACTGACATTGCAATTAAAAAAACAAAGGTTATATTCAAAATCAGATTGGAAGTCTTATTACTTTAATATACAAAAGT